AATTTATACTTGTGCCCAGCGTTACTCTGTCTGAGGTGCAGAATTTGACATTAATCTCAGCCCAGTGCTCCAGTCTATCTAGATTTCCTGCAAGGCCTCAAGAGATCAGCAGCACCTTTCAGTTTAGTATCATCAGCAAACTTGCAAATGGTGCGTTCAACTCCTGCATCCAGATTGTTGATAAATATGTTGGAACAGAACTGTCCCCAGAACTGAACCCTGAGGAACACCACTGGTGACTGGTTGACAGCCAGATGTAGCCATGTAGCCCCATTCACTACAACCCTTTGAGCTCTGCCCTTCAGACAGTTGAAGGACCTTCATGACCCTGTGCACCATGAACCCGCTCATCCCACAGGAGGATGCTGTGAGGGACAGTATCAAAAGCCTTACTGAAATCCAGAAAAACTACATCCCCCACCTTCCCTTCACCCAGTAGCTGGGTGACCTTATCGTAGAAGGGTACAGAATTAGTTACACAGGACTTTCCCTTTGTGAACCCACACTGACTGTGCCTGATGATTGCATTGTTCTTCAAATGCCTTTCAATAGTACCCAGTATAATCGTCTCCATAATAAAGAGAAGTTTTCTTTCTTGAACACTGTCTGTATTCTAGTAGTATTAGTATAGGTACAAAAAAGAGGTACCATGAAATGAACTTGAGTGTGACATTAAGAGTATGCATCAGTTATTTGGAAGTAATGAACATCTGATGTCTGTGCTCTTAGCCATTGGTAAATGTGAAGTAGCTTTCCTCTTGTTAATTTAGAGGAACAAAATTAAAAATTACTTGAACACACACAACTGTGTAAATAGCTTGTGACAGACCAAATTAATTCCTTATCAGATGGGACAAAAAATACTGTATCTTAAAGAATAACCCAAAGATATTTTGGAGGAACAGATAAATGTTAGTGGTGTTTCAAAACTGTAGATTCTTTCTTCAGCAAAAAGAATTGAACAAGTCCCACTAACTTAATAATTTATTTTTTTTTAAACTTAATACATTTCATTATCATTTTTGTTTTGCAGGATACAAAATTATGGATAATAATGGAATACCTGGGTGGAGGCTCTGCTCTTGATCTAGTAAGTAAATTATGTATGATTTTGGAATTGTACCTTACATAATTATTTTCCTGTATTATAATTCTTGAAACTATGAAATGTCATTTGGCTATGACAATGTTTGCGTCCAGTATGGGAGAAAAAGTACTTTTCAATGCCAGGAAAATGTTCTTTTCCATGAGGCAAGGCTGTTTATTTGTATAGATGGAAGGAAACTAAACAACATAATATTGGAAGCAGGATATAAACATCTTAGAATGCTAATCTTCAGTCAACCACGGAACACTAGTGACTGAAAATTGCTTTTTCTGTCTCTTAATTGTGCCACCCCAGCTCCTCCTAGTGCATACATTTTGAAGTCTCTTCCTTAATACCACCACCCCCAAACAAACAAGTTTCCCTTTTTGAAGTCTCACTGAAGTCTAAGTAGAGATAGAAACACAATTTAGGCTGGTATTAAAAAAAAAAATATATAGCAAAGAAATAGGAGGAGCTGTGGACTCCTGCAAAGGTAGAGAGGCCTTACAGAGAGATCTGGATAGACTAGAGAGCTGGGCAATCACCAACCGTATGAAATTAAACAAGTGCTGAATTTTCCACCTGGGACGGGGTAATCCTGGTTATACATACAAATTGGGGGATGAGAGGCTGAAGGGCAGCTCCACAGAAAGGGATCTGGGGTTTGGGTTGATGGCAAATCTAATATGAGTCAACAGCCAAAAGGGCCAACCGCGTCCTGGGGTGCATCAAGCACAGCATAGCTGGCCAGTTGAGGGTGTGGCCCCACCTCGAGTACTGTGTGCAGTTTCGGACACCTCAATTCCAGGAGGACATCATCCTATTAGAGTGTGTCCAGAGGAGGGTGACCAAGATGTGAAAGGCCTTGAGGGCAAGACTTAGGAGGAGCAGCTGAGGTCACTTGGTTTGTTGGGCTTGGAGAAGGGTAAGGGTTGACGTCATTGCAGGCTACAATACTTCCTCAAGGGGAGTAGGGGAGGGGAAGGTGCTGATCTCATCTCTCTGGTGACCAGAAATAGGGCACGAGGAAATGGAATGAAGCTGCATCAGGGGAAGTTCAGATTGGGCATTAAGAAAAGATTCTTCACTGAGAGGGTGCTTGGTCACTGGAACAGGCTCCCAGGGAAGTGGTCATGGCACCAAGCCTGTCAGAGTTCAAGGAGCATCTGGACTACAGTCTTAGTCATATGGTTTAGTTTTAGGTAGTCCTGAGAGGAGCAGGGAGTTGGACTTGGTGATCCTTGTGGGCCCCTTCCAACTTGAGATATTCCATGATTCTGTGAGATATTTTCTGTGTTTGCATGTCATGTGTAAATATACCATAGAATCTTGTAAATTTAGTGAACTGTATCAGTTCCGTTTCTCTTCCGGCAAAGATTTTTGTATCTAATTCTGCAAGAAGATCTGCTTAATAAAGTGTGATTTTTTTAGAGACAGTTGAAAGACCAGATTAAGTATGCCAGATACAATAACAAAAAATTACCCAGTTTTGAGTCATAATTCTAAAGGTTCAGTGCAGACTGTGTTTTCCATGACTGGATGCTGGCAATTGGCTTTAGCTATTAAAAAAACCCAAACAAAACAAAAACTATTATAGAAATAAAAATGGATGTTTTAAACATGTGAAAATTGTCATACCAATTGAGACCGAGTCTCTGTGGCATAGTTTGCTGTTCTCAACTGGGGCATTTAATAAATGCTTGAGGAAAGAGAGAAAGGAAAAAGGCCTGTGTATAGGGATTCTGATGGTGACATCCAGAAGATGTGAGGTGGTAGTACATGCAGACTCCCTGCAGTTGTGCTGCCATATTTTAATTGTAATCACCTTTTGGAACCCATTTATACCTTTAGTTTCCCCATCCTGTTAGAAGGAGTTCTGTAGTTGTATAGAAATTGATAAGGGTCTCTTTAGCTTGGAGAAGAGGAGACTGAGGGGAGACCTCATTAATGTTTATAAATATGCTAAGGGCGAATGTCATGAGGAGGGAGCCAGGCTCTTCTCAGTGATGCCCAATGGTAGGACAAGGGACAATGGGTATAAGCTGGAGCACAGGAGGTTCTGCTTAAACTTGAGAAGAAACTTCTTTATGGTGAGGGTGCCAGAGCACTGGGACAGGCTGCCCAGGGAGGCTGTGGAGTCTCCTTCTCTGGAGACATTCAAGACCCGCCTGGATGCCTTCCTGTGTGATGTCATTTAGGTTCCTGCTCCGGCAGGGGGATTGGACTAGATGATCTTTTGAGGTTCCTTCCAATCCCCAACATTCTGTGATTCTGTGATAAAGATATGCTGAAAAAAGTTTATTTATTTTTGCTACAGTTATTTCCTGAGAGAAGAACAATTAGAAACTGAGTTTGCTTTCATAAATTCCTACTTTCTTCATGCTTCAAAAAGGTATAAAAGAGCAGAAAGAAAACAGATGTTACTGTATTTTCTTGTCTTTTTTTTCATCACACACGTTTCAGTTGTGTGATGACCACGTGTTTATTCCCTAAGTGTGTTGCCTAGAAGTAGTACAAAGTCTTTGGTCACATCCTGCAATGTTGTTGAAGAAATTGTGCCACAGAAATGAAATAATCATTTAAGTGTATACGCAGTATACTTCATTCATTTTCAGTTTATGTTCTGCTGCATGTTCTCCTAGTTCCAACAAGCACATTAAGATTCTCAACTGGAATCTGGTAGGACAACTGGCACACTTTATCATGTTTCTGTACTTGAGGCAAGTCTGGATGGGAATCTTGAATTCCATGTTTGAAGTGTATATGTGCCATGTTAACCTGGTGTTCTCTGTACTTGAATATGCACTGGCTCTTTTGAAAATCATTCCTCACAAGAGCAAGTACATTTAATGCAATTACATGTGTGTTGTTGTTCGACTTGGAGTATAGTTTAGGTTTGTGGCTGAGGTACAAGTGCTAATATTCTCAGCCTTAGTCTCTTTCCACTACCTTCCTCCTCACTAAGGTGAGCTAACCTCTGACAAAAGAGGTTTTCCCCCATTAGATGTGCTGTATCGTGTTGTCGAGTCTTGAACTGGCGCTCGCAGCCTGGCTGGTCAAAACCTTGAGGATGTCTTGGTGGGTTTCAGGGAGTGGCACTACCATGTATATTGTCAATGCTAAAGAAAAGCAAAAAACATTGGAAGTAGAGCTGCAAAGGTAAAACAAATTTGTTTGCGTTACATGAAATATTACCTCTCTTCCTACCTATTAGCTGAGGATTTCTGAGGGATGTAATATTTTAATTTTTATCTGAAATGCTTTCTTTCTCACATAATTAAGCTTCAGAGATAGAGCTTTTTGATTGTGTTTCAGTGACTGCTGTTGTGGAGTAAACTATACTGGAATATTTCCAATATTAATTGCTGTCCACAAAGTTGCAGTGTTTCTGCAAAAAAGGCTCTTACTGGTTAAGAAGCCTCTCTGGGTAGTGACCTTTCCTCTGTCCCTTTAGGGCTGTTGGCATGCTCCCTTTTAGAATTTGTATCAGTTGTAGAGAGTTCTAAGATCTTCTTCCACTGCTGTTTCTTCTCATAAGAATTAAATTACTTGGAACCTTTAATTCTAACAATTTGCAGGTTTATACCTTCAGTTTTATATGAAAAAAGTTAACTTCTAAAATATGCAATGCTCTGTCAGCCTAGCAGTTTGAGCTGTGTTTTAGAGAGCTTCACAAAATCCCTTGCTGCATATAGTAATAGGATATGAGATTGATGTGGTACCCAATATACCATAGTTTCTTTCCCAGACTTTGGGACTGGGGTCTGTAGAGGGCCTGTGGAGTTGCACATCTAAGTTCAGTGTATTGTTAATAATCAGATTACAATGTAGGTGCTTTCAAACACAGTGTATGTATCTATGACCTGACCACAAAGCATTAACCTGAAACTGTGTCTTTAGGGAGCCTTTAATAAACTATTAAAAGTGTTTTAGATAAATTAAGTATTTCTTTGCCTGTTGTTCATGAGGCCAGGCCAGTTAGTTTAGAACTATGTATTTTTTTTTTTAAAGAATATTCTGGGTTGTATCTCATGTTACAAAGTTAGCAAATTGGAAATTTTGAGGTGTGACAGAAGGAGTTTTATAGTCTTTTTATAGTCACAGTGTTATTTCTGGTCTCTCTGTCTCTCCTTTATGTTTATGCACATACATATATAAAAGCATTTCTTCTGTCTCCTAGTTAGAACCCGGCTCACTTGATGAAACCCAGATTGCTACAATATTGAGGGAGATACTCAAAGGACTTGATTACCTGCATTCAGAAAAGAAAATCCACAGAGATATTAAAGGTAAATTGTTTTTTATTTGTAACAATATTAGAAGAGCTCATGCAATGTGAATGAACACCCTTCCAGTGTCAAATGTCTTCATTTCCGCTGTTTCCTCTTCTGTATTCCAGCTGCTAATGTATTGCTGTCTGAACAAGGAGAAGTAAAACTAGCAGATTTTGGAGTAGCAGGACAACTAACAGATACACAGATCAAGAGGAATACCTTTGTGGGAACACCATTTTGGATGGCACCTGAAGTAATAAAGCAGTCGGCTTATGATTCAAAGGTGAGGTATTTCAAGGCATTAGCCAAAGTCCCTTCCTTTTTTAGCATGAATTACGTAGGTTGGTCTTCAGAATGTAGCTAATAACTTTGGCTGTGTCTAGACAGGTGTGTGTTTAGATGATACCTAGCAGCTAAAAGCTGTTGTCGGGGAAAGAAGCTTTGCTAATTTGTATCCAAACCTCAAGTTTCCTAGTGTATTAAGCCCATCCAGATGGCAAGAAATATTACAATATTGACAAGTACATCCTGTCACTTTTTATCCCGCTCTATTGATGAGTATTTTTGATGGCTGTTTAAAAGTAGAAGAGAGCAAATATATACAAAATGTTAGTATGCTTCCACTTGTTTTTAGAAAAAAAATAGTTGACAACACTGTTGAGTAATGGTGGGTGTGAAAGTATTGTTTGAAAATGGTGTTACTGATTTGTGGAAGAATGTGCTGCATAGGTCCATGCTACTCTCTGACCATGTTCTTTTAGATATTCCTTACAGGGAGGTCTTAATGTTTAACCTAAAATTTACTTATTTGCAGATATTTTCATTAAATTGGATCTTGATTTAGCAGAGTGGTACAGCAGTGTACTGAAATCACAACACAAACACAATATATCAATTGTAATATACAGTTGGATCACAATAGAAATGTGATTCCCATTACTGGTCTCCATGTACTCACCAGCATGGCACTGGGTATCCCTAGTTGCTGGGAAGGAATACATGCACTGAAGCCAGCTCAAGCCCATTGCTCCTTTCAAAGTTCATTTTGATGGTTACTCAGTTTTATACTTCTGTTAGGCTGAACTACATACACACCTCCTTGCTGCCCTTCCCTTCCCCTCCCTCATGCTGGCCTGGCTAGCTCAGTAAGACATTGCTCTACCAGTTACATCAGGGAAGACTATTTGCACAACCTGATGACCCACTGGTGCAGCTGTATATCTGAAATAAAGGTCACCCTTGAGTCCCAGTTGTGTAGAGATAAGATCAGCTTGCTTTCTGATAATTAGCAGTCATTCTTTATGTTCTTCCCTGAGCTCATCTTTCTTGCCCATCTCCTCTGATCCCCTTGTAGACATTTGTTGATTGGTCACATCTCCATGCAGTGAAACAGATTGACTTGTTTCTTTCCACCCTCATCCATGTAAGGAACTCGCCCATAGTGACTCTGGCCTAGATTGTTTGCAGTATTGTATCCTTCTCTAATTGATATCTTTCTGTAGAGAGGCTATTTAAAAGCAGAGCTCTGTAGAACCTCTAGAAGCTTACATGACCCCAAATTCCCAATTTGAAGGTTGAGTAAGCATTTTTTTTTTTTTTTGTGGGTGGTGGTTTTTGTTTTGTTTATTTATTTAGGGTTTTTTTTGGGGGGTGGGGTGTTGGTGGTTGAGGTTTTTATGAGATTTGGCTTTTGGGAATGATTTTCACTTGGACAGAGCATGACTAAGTCCTCGGGTTTTGAATTCCAGCTGATTCAGTCTACAGTGTCATGTGGACACACAAAGATTTTGAATACTTAGTCAGTTCCCTAGAAGGCCAGAGCTCAAGCTTTAAATGAACTAGAGATAATTATTTGTGTCTGTGAGCCTTTTGGCACTTACAGACCAGACTAAATTGTACAGACGATAGTGTTGCTGGTGCTGCAGAAGACCTGTTTATTTTAAGATGGTCTCATGGGTCTTGCGCATATGTGAGAACACAGACATCCAAAGCTAACCTCATTTTCCTTCCATAAGCTGGCTGTGCTTGAGAGGTGTTAGGCAGGACTGCCTTTTCCATAGCATAGTCCCAGTGAGGTGCAAACAATCTCCATTATGCAGTTGCTGCATTGCCCAGTTTTGTTCTTCGCTCTGTCAAATCCTCTTACTCCCCACATGCTGGTGGGTTCCCAGTAAAAACCTGGAAGTGCTCCATAACACTACCTGGGGCACAGTTCACCTGCTTCTTTCACAGGGTTCATCTGCTTCTTTCCTCACTCACTGCATGCCTCACACCAACTGTTAAATTGTTTATTGCTCCTTTTCTGATGGGATTGATGTCTTTGCCTATGCTGGCTGCTGAAATAGCACAACTGTGCAAGGCAAAGCACAATCTAAGTTACAACATAAAAATCCTAACTATGCTAAAGGAAGGCAGGTGCATTCTGAGGTCTAACATGGCTAGTTATTGCTATAAAGCTTAAGGTCTCCTGTTGATTCAGCACTATTATTGCTTGTCTTAATATTATGGCTGTATTATCAACGTAACTCGTGCAAGAACTGTTATTCCAGTATACTGATTTCTACTTTAAGCTGTTTCAGATATTAAGATATAGTTAAGATATTAAGACACCTCCTCTGAATTCAGATACGCTTCTGAGTTAACCATCCTGTCAAACCCAGCTTCTAGAATTGAAGAGAGAACCTTCTGAGGAATTTCCTTGTGTGAAGCACTTAAAATGCTTTTGGTTAGAACAGTGTATCTTTATTGTCTTTGCATCACTTTATAATATTTTAAAGTTCATGTTAATGTCTCTTACAATTGTGTTAAAGTAATGAATACTTAACAGAAGCTGGTGACTTTGAATATAATTTCAAATGTAATCAATATATTTTCCCAAATGTATGTTATGGAAATGTAAGTATATAGTATCTTTTATCTTTTGTTAAGGTAGAGAAGCAGGTTTTTTCATAGAAAAAAAAAAAAAAAGCCTGCATTTTTGAAAAATGCTGCTTTAGTTCAAGATTTGACAAATGCTTACATTTTGTATATTTTTCTTTTAAAATATGTGAAACTCAACAATGTCAAACCAAGTCCCAATTTATGTTCCTAACACTGTGCTCTCAAGATTGTCCAAGATTTTGGACTGCTTTATGTATATGTGAGCTTTGTATTCTTTAGCTGCCATACAGAATTGGGACACTCCATTCCTGCTTTTTTTTTCCTGCTTTATTCAGTCCTATTCCCAAACTGTCTTGTATCCTTAAGATAATTCCTATTGTTCTTTCTTGGACCATATATTGCAAGGTATATTTACAAGACATTCCAGCAATTGTCTTTATTGCCTAAAAAATAATCAGGGTATGTGATTTTTGACAAAGATACTAAAATTTCAACAGCTTCTGTCAGACTTTTGTAAATAATTATTCAGACTGATATATTTGAGAACATAAGATTTCCAGATGGCTTGTGTGAGAGAGTAAGTTAGCTATAACGTTTGCATTTTAATGTGATCAGTAGCTAATCTGAGAGGCATACTTGATAACAAAATTTCAACTTTATTTTTCATTTTCCCTTGTAGTTTATTCTTAAAGTTCAAATAATCCCCAAGGTTGATAAAATCTAGCAGCTAAAGAAACTGTCAGACATGGGGAAAAATAGTGAAATGTCAAAACATGACTATAATCATTATATTAAAGCTACCATTTGTTTTTAAAATGTCTTTTCTTTTTTTATTTATCTTCTCCCATACCATTTACTTCCTTCTCTCCAGGCTATTTGTTCTTTGATATAATGTCCTTACAGGATCTTTCCCTTCTTTCTAATTTCTGTTATTTTGGTAATAGTTTTTACTTCTTCCTCCTGTTTTGATTCTTTTCTTCATCTGAAAGTCAGCATCTCTTCTTATCTGCTTCAGTTTTCCCATATCTAGTTCTCTATCCTTTCTACTATTTAACTTCTAATAGAAAAATAAATATTTCATTTTAAAATGTTTTTCTCTTACACATAGCCTGTTTTCTTTGATTTACAAGAGCTTCAAAGTCAAATGGAAGCTCAAATGAAGAGGAAAAGCTTCCATCAGTACTGCAATAAATAGTAGTTATTAGTGATTTGCTGATTCTCAATATGGAAGAATCATTTTTGTTCAAGATTTGAAACTAAAACTCATAACATGTGGTAAAACTTTGTAAGGATATAGTATCATCACTTCTTAAGGTCACGCTTCTCCCTCCCCACTTGGAGGACTGAGTTGTGCCTGTTCTGGATGTTCGTTGTCACAGAGAAGCGCATCATAGAAATGCCTAGCTGGATACGCATGCAATCAGTATTCATATCCCTGTTTGAGATCCTTTCTTGTCTGTGAAAGGAGAGGTTACAGTTCCAGAGGATTTGAGGGGATTTATTCTTGAAGTTTTCAACAGAAATGGGCTTTCAAAACCTGTCTTGGACTTCAAAGACTTCAGTGTGCAGCCCTGGTTTGTTGGACTTCCTCATTCTTTTTTGTGGAGGAAAGTCACTAGCAGTAGAAAGTTAAAAATACATGAGGGGGAAGAAAGAAAGAAAGTATTTATATATATGTGTGTGTGTGTGCGTGTGGATATCTACGCACACATACACATATAAATTTGACTTTTATACTTAGATATACATATGCTACATCTGTGACTGGAAGTCTGGCAGAAGAAAATCCATTTACATGGCTTTAACACATTCCTCTCGAGAAACTGAAATTCAGATTAAATTAGAAATAATAATGCTCAGTTGTTAACATGAAGACTTATCTTTGCAGGTGACAGTTTTCTTTCAGAAGCAAGAAAAGCTTTCCTGCTAGAAGGAAGTTACTTACAATTATACTTAGACTTGAGGAGAGCTTAGCTGATAATGCTGTTATTAAGATAAAAGAAACTCAAGAGCTCATATACTTGTTATCCTCTGTGCTCGGTGTGAGATGGCAGTTCTGTAACACGGGTTAACAGAACCTCATTTCATAAATTGGATGGTATGCTAATTGACTCAGGGTTGCTTTTTGTTTTCCATATTTGCAAAATTAAGTAACTAAGCTCTTGACAATAGAATAGTGTCTGAACAAGGAAGGAGCTTGTCTTTACTGAGGCAATGTAGCTGTGACAGTGGAATGGGTGCATATGTTGCAGCTATCAGCCTGTAGTCCTGTGTGAGTTAGTCAGCGATAACCTAGCGTATCAGGTGAGCAGAGACACAGGGAGTAGAGGGACACTTGGTAAGGACAGTAGTGATAAATTAAATCTCTGCTCTATCCAGTACGATGAAGTAGGTGTTTACAGCACCTATTGCTCTGTTTGAGAATAAAACTAGACAGCTTACTACAGATCTTTCTTGTTTCCTGAGAATAAGTCTTTATTCTGCTTTCACTTCAAAAGAAACAGAAAAAACAAAACATAAATGTTCTTATTTATTTATTTATTTAAATTAATATCTTGTCCTTTGGAACAGACGTTTCTGTGATTTTTTTATTTTTTTTATTTTTTTTTTCCTTCACCTGGGTTTATTAATACATTCTTTTGACTTTTAGGTCTGTTCTTTCAGCAGAACATAGTGAATTATGGTGCATTACTTCATGCACATTTGGCAGTAGGGTTTAGATCTAGAGAGACTCTAGAAATCTAGAGTAGCACATTTTGATGTCAGAAACCTATTAAACAACTATATTTAAATAATCTTCCCTGGAAACCCAATATGTGTATTGTGGCATCCAGTAACAAAGTGAATCCAACTAATCAGTGCAATTAAATGGTAGCGAATCTGGCACTGGTCTCTGCTGCGTTGCTTGATTTGTCCCTCTAACCTGGAAGTGAGCCTTTAGATCTGCACTTTGCATGTTCATGACTTAAGTTTGTTTTACATCAGACCTCCTTGGCCTACAAGGCATGGCTCAAAGGAGAAGCTCTACAAAACAGATCAGGTAGAAAAGTGCTGTCAATATTTCAGAAGCTGCTTGGAACAAATACTTAACTGGATGAAATCTTGGGTTTGAGAAGTTAAAAAATCACAGAATACCAGGTTGTAAGGGACCTCAAGGATCATCTGGTCCAACCTCTTGGCAAAAGCCAAGACATGATGACCCAGCACCCTGTTCAGCTGAATCTTAAACAGTGTTCATTGTTAGAGAACATAATGGTACTGTTCTGGACTGTGTTTCTCTAGTCTGTGAATAAGAATGATATGTAATGATATATAAGAGAGTTAAACCCCAGGAAAATTATATTCTCATGTATTAAATTTCTGATGATTATACTAGCTGATGCTTGTTGTGGAAAAAATCTTGTGCATGTTATAACGTTTCTCCTTTATGCCAGTATTTGAGTGTTGCATCATATTTACATAGTATACTTGAATATGGTGGATAAAATGCTAGTTTATAACAATTCTGCCATTACTTTTTAAAAATATTTGTGTTTCAAGATAAGTTATAACTACCAGTGCAATAGTATTGATTTCAAAAAGTTTTAAAACCTAGTAAGTAGAACTGCTTTATGCTGTAGAGTAAAAACAACTAAGGAACTCTGTGTACTTTATTTGATGTGGTTAACCATGTAAACCAGACCATGACAATAAAAAAAACAATTAAGTATGAAATTATTTGCACTAAAGGCTTAAAACCTGCCTTTGCAAGCAACACTGATTCTTGTCTTTCTCCAAGCTAATCTTAGAAACGTTGTTTCTTACAGGCAGATATCTGGTCATTAGGCATAACAGCCATAGAACTTGCAAAAGGAGAGCCACCTCATTCAGAATTGCATCCAATGAAGGTTTTGTTCCTCATTCCTAAGAACAATCCACCAACGCTAGAAGGAAACTTCAGTAAATCTCTCAAGGAATTTGTTGAGGCCTGCTTAAACAAGGACCCAAGCTTTGTGAGTTTCATCTGTTTGTCAGTCTATGGTAGAGAACTTGACTGGTTTACATGAATTATGTGAATAAGTGCAGCTCAGCTTTTTTAATATGGGGCAGTGTATTCAACAGCATTTTTATTTTTTTTTAAGTAATGTGTATATCTGAAATCTCATTTGTGTCAAGACTGAAGTCTGAATTTCTTAATCTTTTTATAGTGGGTCACTTAACACTCTCAAATGCAGTAAAAAAATTTATTTTTTTTTTTTTTTTTTTTAAGAGACCTACTGCAAAAGAGCTCTTAAAACACAAATTTATTTTACGAAACTCAAAGAAAACTTCCTACCTGACTGACCTTATTGATAGGCACAAGAGATGGAAGTCTGAACAAGGTCATGACGACTCCAGTTCTGATGACTCTGATAAGTAAGTTGGATGAGTTTGTAAAATATCCTTTGTAAATATAGGAGCCAAGTAGTTATTTTTAGCCCATGTATTCCTATGTTCTGTCACTTACAGCTTTTCATCTTAGGAGCTGTGCTAAATACTTTTTGTACAATGGCCTTTTAAATGGTGCTTTTCTTGGAAATTACTCTTAGTTCACAGATCAGAAAGGAAAGAACTTAGAGGAGGATGTTCATGGTAGTGAAAGGAGAAAAGTAATGCAGTGACTGAGTAGTGTCAGCATAAATATTTTTGTTCTTTTAATTTAGTAGGAGTTATAGAAAAAATTACTATGCCATCCACAAAAAAATGAGGCAGAAGATTGATTTATGGGGATGTAGTTTGTTAAAGCCATGCTCTATCAGTACATTTTAGCAAATTTTTTTTTGAGTGCAAAATTTACCTTGCTTATGGTCTGGGGATGAACTTTCTTTCTCAAAGGTAATCTAAGCTAGTGTCTTAGCTGTTTTTCTAGGCAAAAGAGTGATGATTTAAGTCTTCTAATTTTTTCCTACTTCCCTAATGGTTTGAGGTACTCTGCTAAAGCCAGTTTTCAGATAGTAATAAAACACTTCATGTTACTTGTTCATACAACTTGGGAAAATGTTTTCAATCTGTAAAGCCTCTCTTTGTTTTTGAAATTAATTTATAATTTAATGAAGTATCTTGGTTTCATTTTTTAATTTTCCCAGAATATAAGTTACATTACTTTTCATACTTGTCTTTATACTTACTGGCTTGCACAATAGAATCTTGATTTTGGTCTTCATTGTAGTTTTTATGTTTAGCATGTATATTGAATGAACATGGACAATAATGTGTAGGTAATAAAACTTTTTCTTTTTTTTTTTCCCCCTCTCTTTAAGTGAACCAGATGGCCAGGCTTCAGGTGGGAGTGATTCAGAAGAGTGGATCTTCACAATAAGAGAAAAAGACCCCAAGAATCTAGAGAATGGAGCAGCCCAGCCTTCAGAGTTGCAAAGAAATAAGGTGCTCAAAATACTGACTGTGTTATACAAGGACATAGTTCTTGCTTTAATAATTTAGTGGGGTGATTTTTATTTTATACCTTTAAAAACATTTAAATTGTAAAACTTTCAGAACTTTTGGTAAAATTCTACAGTTACCTTTCACAAAATGTTTTGAGTAAGTCTAGAAGTTTGGATATTTTCTAAATGTATCTTTTTTCTATGGTTTGTGAAACATGTGCTAAAATATTTCTGTAGTGTGTAAAATATTACCACTGGAGGAAGACCAGGCAATATTTCTAAAATTTTCCTTCTGTAAACTAAGCTTAAATCAATACCTTACAAAGCTAGGCTTTGGTTTTGAGGAAGGCACTCTAGTCTTTTAGGAAAAAAGACCACAATGTAGCAAAGAATAGAATATGCATGTGACCAAAAGAGGGGGAAAAAACCAACCAAACAAAAAAACAAACCAAAACCAACCAAACAAAACAGAATAAGGATGCTTAGGAGATGCTCTACTTTATTTTCTGCAGCCTGTGTGGCTGGGCTGAGGCAAGGGTTTGCTGCCCTGGCTTGGAAAATTCTATGTGTGTGCTCTTATCAGAACTGGAAAAATATAAGAAAAATACTGTGTCATATGGAGGGAACCTTGTAAATAGGGGAACCTAGTAAATCAGCATGTTGATGTTTTAGCCCATGCTCAGTAGGATTTTGTGGGGTTTTTTTGTTTGTGTGTTTGTTTTAATTTTGAGCTTGCAGGTATTTGAGGTGCTGCAGCTTCAAATTTTAATTTAGCCTCCATTTTCCACAGTGCTTTTGAATAGTCTCTTGTAGAACATTTTACATATTTGTATATACCTAGAAACAAATTTTTCATAAGTATAGCATGTTGGAACTTTTTTATTTCTTAATTAGAAACAGAACACTGTGAGGATGCTTTTTTTCAGAAATAAAATTGGTCAGAATTTTGTTTTCTTTAAAGGAAAAGAATATCCCAAAGAGGCCTCTATCCCAATGCCTGTCTACAGTTATATCCCCTTTATTTGCAGAGGTAAGTTATTGCTTTAAAACTTAGCAATTCCAGGACTTATGTCTCTGAAAGTAGAAAAATATGATGAATGACACCTAAAGGTTTCTAAAACCCGTGTATTACAGTTCTAGCTGTACCCTTTGCTTTCATGCATGTCTGCTTTGGAGATCTTTGTTTTGCTTCTAACAGTACTTCATATGCACTTTAAAGCCTAAAGCAATGAACAAGAAAAACAAAAAGATACGTAAATATTTGAATTGCAGCATTACATTTTTTGACACTGCTTTATCTCTTTATCTGTCATTTTATCTGTTACAAATTTTAAGGTCTTTAGTGTTTCAATATATGGCTGTGGATCAGATCACCAAGAACTTAACTTTTTAATTTCAGTGTCGAAGACTCTGTTTTGTTCCCATTCTGAATTTTATATTTTTTAGGTTTGTTTTTTCCAAATACTTAAAAACAACTTTAAAAAAAAATCATATGAAGGGGAAGACAGATATTTATGAAGACATGGTTATTTTAGAAAGTTGATAGAACTCTAAGAAACAAAACATCCCTGCTCACTCTAGCTTTGATATGAATACTTTTAATTGAAAAAATTATTTCAATCACTGTAACTGTTACAGAAATAAAGTTAGAGAAATTTTTCTAATAAAAGGATGTTGTCTTAATTTTGTTCTTATAAATAAAGTCCTGTTTCAGAGGATTATCATCAAATTTTGCATGCTACCCATTAAGTGCAGTAAATCAATTAAACTAATTTTAAAGGGATGACCTCTGTATTGGTTATTCAGACTCCAGTATTAAGTCAGTCTGTCATTCTCCCGTGTAAAGTGGAGAAACACTATAAACAGGGAATTTCTTGGCATTTTCCATTGCAGTTCTTCATGTATTACCCACTTACTTGCATCTGAAAATTTTGTTTCACTTCCCTTCCCTCTCCCAAACATTTTTCTGGTTACTGTGCATCTGCTTTAGGTCTTCCTTCTCCTGTTCCAATGCCAAGCATGATATAGGTCCTGCATCCACTGTCCCCCACGCTCCAGCCTCCGTTTTTATCCTTTATTTTTCGTTGTCTCTCCACCAGTGCCCTTTATCACCTGCCTTCTAGATATCTCCACCCTGGGTTCTTCCTTCCCGTGCTATTGCTGACGTTGCTGTCTCATTCTTTGCCTTTCTGGCTTCCCATTTTCAGTTTCAAGGCCACTCTCTTAATAGCCACTTGCTGATCCCTGTGTGTGTACGAGTCCCCTCACACTGCTGCAGCAGCACAGACATTTATCACTGCAGTCCTTATTAAGATTGCTGTTTACTTTCAGCTCTGTAGTGCGTAGAGGCTACAGAAAAACTTTTCCTCACACACTTGTTTGTTGTACCTTTTCATGCTGTGGGCGAAGACTCTTGGTCTGGTACCTGCTGTTTGGTTCATACTTTAGACTCTTCTTCTATGCAACTTCTGGTGGATAGCCACAACTTTTCCAAACTGTTCCAGAACCTCACTGCAGGGTTTCCTTTTTCTTATGGTCATGGCTACTGTCTCTGCTGTCTGGTGGAAGCCTTATGCTGTATTTTCAGTGTTCCATTTGTTTAGCATTCAAACCATAGATACCTGCACCTTCAGGAATTATTGCTAGCTGCATTAGTGACTTACTCCATGGAACTCCTCCAAAAAGAACAAAGCTGACCATTCAGAGCTTTTCGTTGTCATGGAGGCTTCAAAGCTTTTGGCACAGAAGACAAATGTAAAAAGGAACTGCTGTCCCTAAGTAATCTTACAGGGGAAGATTGTGCTCTGCATCCTTCTGTTTCAGTTGAACTCTGATACAATTTAGGAACCTTGGCTGAAGTGGCTTGCTCATCTATGGGGCCCTGCCTCTCTGTGTTGCTGGTCGTAATCTGAAGCTTGGTGCACCTCAGCAAAGCAATGAAAAAAACCAACCAAACAAATAAAAAACCCACAACAAAACAGCCAACCCCAAACAAAAGAAACCCCCCCCCCCAACAACAGAAGTTAAAACACACCTGGAAAATGAACAAAGTTGTCATGCTTGTCAGTTTTGTGATCTTCAGTGACCAGCTACCACCCTGGTGTGGTCTCTTTTGCTTTATCAGAGGATGCTGGCAGAATACCACATGCAGTGACTCATTCTGGGTTTCTTTTTAAAGACTGGTTATCTGGAGGTGTCCTTTGTTGCAATGTTCCCACTATTGTCTACTTCTGTAATCTTGTCCTCAAGGTATGACTTCCCAGTTTAGACTAAGAAAGGTTTAGTTATTGCTGGGGAAAAAAAGGCATTTGTGTCTTCTTGTTACCTATGCTTTGTGTGCACGATCTCGCTCTTGAACATCCTGGATGTAATGAAAAGAGCATAAGCAGCAGCCAAGAAGAGTGCAGAAGCCTTCTTACTGCTGTGGTTGTACCCCAGCTGTTGTACACACAGAGTCCTCTTGATTTCTTTTTGTTGAGACCTGAGTTGCTCTCAGGAGGTGCCCTAACATATTTACAAGCCAGTGCTAAATATGGAACTAGAACAATTATTATTTCCTTTATATTTTCCCTTGCAAGACTCGGGTTCCTTTTTTAAAGAAAAACCTTTCCTCAATGCTGATGGCAACTCTTGAGCTGTAGTTCCTGACAGCTGTTGAAAGTCCACTTCAGAAAGCCCTTGAAGGCTGTTTTAGTGCTTGGACATCTCTGAAGAGCTTCACTGTCACTTTGTTCCCTCCAGAATGTATGAACTAAAAATCATCTTGATCTGTGAATTCTGCTTTCTGCTGCTTTCTGGAGATCATGCTTATTCCATGTGACAGTCCCCTGTGCTGTACTTAAGTAGGGCCAAAAGTGAATGCATGCCAACACTATATCCAAGGAAGTGACTCAAACTTTCCATTTGTTCAAGCTCAGCTTTCTTCATTACTGGCAGTAATGGCATAAGGGCAGACTGGCTGTAGGTCTCGCATTCAGAGATGACTCTAAAACTAACTGAATAATTTTTAGAGAAATATGTACAAAAATACTTCAGTGTTCTTTCAGTTCTGTGTAAACAATTCAAACTCTTTGGTCTGAAGCACTCATAAGCACAGTCAGCTTCCAACTGGAGTATTTTTGTCACCAGGTTTTTTTTCCCCTAAGAAATGACTTTGATTCCGTCCTGCTTAAGAGGATGCTACAAAACAGCTCTTGACACTGACGGTCACTTCCTAACAGGCTTTTGCATTATATTGTTTATAGAAATATTTATGAATATCTTCCTAATATATCGCCTACTGTTTTTGTTTCAGTTGAAAGAGAAGAGTGAAGTGTGTGGTGGTAACACAGATTCCATAGAAGAACTGAGAAAGGCTATTTATTTAGCTGAAGAGGCTTGTCCGGGCTTTGCAGATGACATGGTGTCACACCTGGTGCAGAGGCTTCAGAGGTATTGAAACTATTTCACTAAGGGTTAGAGAAAATTATGGATCTGACTCTACAAAATATTTGACTAGTGTTAAATGGAAAGATTTAATTTCCATTTATAATAGAGGAAAAAGCACTTGTGCTGGTATTTTGTACAATTGTGTTTACTTAGTAGGAAAAAAAGCCAATCGCATCAGCAGTTCTAATTTCTAGTTTCAGGTCATAGCCCATATATGTGTTCGTTGTGTTGAATGTACACCCTCTTGGTGTGTATGCTGTGTGTCAGTGAGACTGGACAGCCTTTTGCCTTTGCAGTTCTTGTACAGGACGTTCATGCTTTCTTAGTGTCTGGATGTATGTTGCAGAGGATGCTCTGTGTCACTCTTAATTTCTTTTACCCACTTTGAAAAATGGACTGTTCAGTTAGTTTGTGTTTCTTTCATTCACACAGTAAGTGATTCCTTGCTTGTTCATTCGTTAAAGATACTCGGTATGGCCTTTGGGGGTGTCAACTCCAAAGCCAACTTTTTGTATTACTTCAAAAGGACAAATTTCATAAGAGATTTTCTAACTGCCTAGGTTAGGAACACATGCTTAACAAACACTCAATTTGCTGTTCTTTTAAATGCTACACGAGAAAAGATCAGGGGTAAACATTTCAGAATTACTGCTTGAGGAGGCTTTAAATGCAACCTTGAATCAAGTAGTCTGCAACTGTTGTGAATCTGCACCATCCAGGTTGGATTGTGTTGCACTAGAAAAAACCCATGGCAATGGTTAATCGTGGACTGCTACCTTGAGAAAGATCACCCTGAGCAGGGTCATCTCCCCTATACTGTCTCTAACCACAGCTTGGTAAAGTTTAAGAATTCACACTTCTGAAGTTAAAGGAGAGGATTTCCAGGCTGATGCTTCGTCATTAAGTAAAAATTAATGCCAAGAAATCTGCAGGCAATCATGTTTCTTGCTTTCTGGGCTGTTAAGCATGAAGCCCAGTCAGCATCTCTAGTGCTAAAAGGTCACTCCTTGATGCCAGATGTCCTCATTCTCCTTTCATTTGATCCTGGCAAGCTTGAAAGAATTTCTGGAGCTTCCATCTCAGTTTGTTTCCATTAGGGGTTCCAAAACTGACCCTGGTCTTTCATCAGTCCAGTATTTCTATGTCAGATTTCTATCAGCCTGGGAGAAGGCCTTCCTGGAACTGGGAACCTCAAAGACTTTTGATGCTGCAATTGCAGCTGAAAATGACCATGTGGAGACAGGCTTTCCACTGGGCACTTCTTTTGTGGATGCTGTAGATGATCTTACTTGCTTCTGTCACAATAGCAACAGTCATCATTTTTGTCCTAGGAGATAGACTTCAGAACCCTTTATAGACCTGTTTAGCATTTTGTTTTTCTTCTGTTCTGCTTCATTGGCCTGCTGTTCTTGGTCATAATATCTTGTTGTAACAGTGAAGGGCAGGCACTTCATTTTCTTTGAAGGAGAGAAAGAAATGTTCATAAAGAATGTTTGTTGATGGGTCACATTTGGGTGAACTTTCTCTTATTCCAGGGATGATACTCAGCTAGTATGTGATCATGACTACCACTCCTTCCAGAAAATGAGTGAAAGAAATGAATGGCAGGATCTCCCCTAAAAAGGATTTTGAACCATTCCATGGCTTAGTTGTTATCCCTCATGGATAAAACTATTTTTGGAGCTAGTCAGCTTTTGAAAAGATAATTTCTTCTTGTTTGACTACTACAAGAAGTATGCTGTCTTACATCATTAAGTCATTTATTGTATCCACTTGCAATATCCTCTCAATTTGATAGTTAACTACTGAAGGTGGCTCTTCAACAACATGCTTCTGAGATTTTAATTCCCCTTACAATTGGTTGAAACTGGATTTCCCAAGTTTATCTGAATGAAATCGTTGGGACCCTCAGAAGAGCTGCACAATAACTTGAATGAATCCATTTACCTTCCCCCTCCAGTTTTGATCTCTGATGTTTTATAAAGTTTATTGAAAGCTTAACATGATTAAAACATGTGCTTCTTTCTTTGGATGATTTAAGAATCTGCTTAGACCAAGAAGTACAGGTTTCCTGCCCCAGTAATATTTTGGAAAGATAATGATGTACTCGCCAAGTAGGAAAGTTGGAGTTGCAAAATGTTGCCTCCAGTGTACAGAATTCTTACATCATCATATACTCCTCAGTAACATGCCTGAGCACACACAGGTTGCTGCTGTTCATTAGAAAAGCGTTGATACTCTCATAGGGTGTGTTTTACATGTTGTTCAGCTCCGTGGCTTTTGTCTTTGAAGCATGACAAGCAGTGGTGGGTGTCATTCCACAAGGAAAAAGGCTGGAACTTCAACAGCATACAATGGAATAACTTCTAGTCGCTGCTTGTTGTAGAACACCCTTCTGAAAGTCACCATGAATAAGTGTTTCTTTTCCTCTTCAGATATTCACTAGCTGGAGGAAGTACCACAACCTACTGATGTACTGTTCCTGACTTCTCTAAGACAACAGAGATCCCGTGGTGTCCGCGCTGAAGGCTTGCACCGCACTGGAATGCCCTTTGGTGAAAGGACGTTCCTAAATGTGCAAGAGTGAAAATGAAGTCTCTCATTTGGAGGCAGTCATTTTCAGCTCCTTAAAGCTATAATTTTTTTTTAATGATAATGCACATATTCCAGGGAGGTGTCTTTTTGTAAAATCTGAAATGTATATTTAGGTTTGTGATAGAGAAATTGAAGATATTGAGAAACCTCAGGTATCTTGCTTTAAGAATTCCACTGGGAGATGGAGTATGTTTGTTGGAATTGTGTAGAGATATGTATATAATGTCTTTTTTAACTGAAAGCTTTTCAATGTGCATAAGGAATCACTGTGTACAAAATGGTAAAGTGCTTCTGTAGATAATGTTAGTGGGGTAAATATTTGACAGGCCATAACTCTGACTGTTGCCTTGCCTTCATTACATGTAAATTTTGAATTATGTGTAAGTGAATCTTGGTTTGATTTTCATATGTGAAGGATTTGCCATGGAAAGAGTTAATCCTGTACTATGGAACCTTCTGTTCGTACCTCAGCAAAGACACAATTTTATTCTCTTTCTCCAGTATTTCTTCCTATTCATCTATATTCTGTTCATCTATATTACACCTCGTCTCTCAAAACTTTAAATTTAAATTATTGTTTTTCTTAAAGAATGAGCTCTTTCAAGTTTTCAGTTTTAAATTGTGCCAATGCAAATTCTGAACCATATGTATTGTTCAGTTTTAGTAATAGGTATTTGTGAAGCTTGTAGTGAAATTCAGGTACAACCTTTTTTTCACCTAAACATGTTTGAATGCTCACACAAATAAATCTTTATTATCTACATTTATTCTGAAATATCTTATGAAGACATTGGCTCTGAGACAGTGGCAGATATTTCTTTGTCATGCCTATTTTTATCATTAAAATGAATGTCTTGCATTATAAAAGAAAAATTACCCATATATTCAATATGTGGTATTTCTGCCTAACTCTGTGCATCTCTTTACCAAAAATGATAGACGTTAGACAGAAAGACTGCAAAACTGAGCCTGAGGGTTGTGTGCTATGTCCTGTTATTACTTGTCTCCCTAAAAAAAAGTTACTTCTTGAAAATTCTGAATTTTGAAATTTCCACTGTTCCTGTGAGTGCTCCCAGATAGCTGTGACTTAAGGTTTTCTAGTTCTTGGAAGCAGTAACACTAGTTACACACACAGGATTAGGTGTTTGGGTTTTTTGTTTGTTTGTTTGTTTTTCCTTCACATTACTCTGAGGGTTTACCTTGGTTTGTTTCACCAAGGCTGTGTTCAGGTGGTGCTTATTCTGGTAGCTGAGAGAGCATTTTTGCCTTGTTTTTAATGAAGAAATCGATGATTTTATGTTTTGCATGACAGTGAGGTAACTTACCTGTTTGTTTTTTGGTTTTTTGTTTTTTGTTTAAATATAGATATGAGTTTTGGAACAGAAATGATTACAATTTTAAAAGTACGGATATATCTACCTGGCTTAGTACAAAAAGACCCAGGTTCTCTAACCATTCTGGAAGCTGGTGAGGTCTCCTTGCAAGACTTCACATCACCATGGTAGCCCTTATTCTATGCATATTAACAGCCTTAACTATTAATTTACTAATTAAACAGTTAGAGGCCACTGTCATGCTGACAGAGCTATGAAACTTCTGACCAGGTTGAAACAACAGTTGAGAGAAATGGGTGTATCTCTCTGCACTCATTCTTGGAGCCATATCTTAGACACAACATGTTTGCCGGCGTAGGGAGGTAATGGTTTTCCTTTGTGGCTCAGCGAATTTAAGGTAAATTGAACAATGCACAAGTTTGAGTTCCTAACTCCTCTCTGATTAATATCTTTAGATGTGTTGTTTTGTGTGCTTTTAAGAATTAAGGCTAGGCTTACCCTTGAGGAAACAAATTCAGCTCTGCTGTTGGAGAAGGGTGCATCTGAACACAGGGCAGTGGGAAATTCACCTGTTGACATCTCAATATTCAAACGTTCAGCCATTCAGTAAGTATGTGCTGTCACAGCACATGGAAATAAACAGATGTGTTGGCATTTGAACTATAAATATTTGATTAATGGAAGCTTTTCCCCAGTCTTCTGCTAGTGTTAAGGATTTGAAATTAAAGCGAGCTTACCTGGAGATGCACAGAACTCGGAGATTTAATGGGGAAGTTAAATTTATGATGCTGGCTGGAATCTCAAGAATTTCTTAGTCAGCAAATTAAATGAATTTGTAAAGTATGCTATTTTTGAACAATCATTTTAAAACTTAGACATACATTTTTTTTGAGTTGCATTTTAGTTGTGTTGTAGGACTGTATGTTGAGGAAATACTTTTCTGAGCAGATTGTGGAGAATTTTCTTGATGAATGCTTCCCTTGGTTTAGGTGCCTAAGATGAGCCAGACCTTAAGGGCAGTTAATGGTAGAACAAGGAGAAATGGCTCTAAACTGAAAGAGGGCAGGTTTAGATTAGATATTAGGAAGAAGTTCTTCACTGTGAGGGTGGTCAGACACTGGAACAGGTTGCCAAAGGAAACTGTGGATTCCCCCGCCCTGGAAGTGTTTAAGACCAGGCTGGATGAGGCTTTGAGCAACCTGGTCTAGTGGAAGGTGTCCCTGCTGATGGCAGGGGGGTTGGAACTGGATGATCTTTGAGGTCCCTTCCAGCCCAAACCATTCTATGATTCTATAAAGCAAGGACAGTTGGCCAAAAGGCTAGGACATTTAGAAAAAGACAAGACTTCATTTATGGTAGAGATGTGTATTTTTATATGTAAAACAAATTATTTAAATATAGACTATCTTAAACTGAGATTCACTGAAAAAAGTGTGCTGTATCTTGAATGTAAAGTTACAATCATTTGCTATTGAAAACTATCAATGCTTTAAAAATCCGATTGGTGTCGGTAACAGGAGATTTGTTTGAAAGAAGCAGGGCCTCGGTTTCGGAAAGAAAAAGCAGCATCCTGATACTTTTGAGAGGTTGTTTCATGCTAAAAGCATTTGTGTGTTACGATGTTGCACTGATGAATTTTCTGTGCAGGTAGTACTTCCTCACTCAGCCTCGACTATAGGAAGCGACAAGCTGGCCCTATTTATGCAAACATTGAAATCAGTGGAACTGCTTATTTGTCAGGGATTTCAAGATGAGGCAGTAAATCAACTCACTGTTTTTTTTTTAAAAAAAAGGCAGTCATTTGAGCTGCAGGCTTGCTTTTTGTAAGCATTGGATGTGTAATCTGTTTTTTTAACTTAATTTTGACTTTGTAGTTGATGGGCAGTGTGCTGAAGGACGATGGCATGATCAGTGCAGGGCAGGATGCTTTGGGCGCGCTACCAAAGCAGCCCTTTCTCTGCAGGGCCGTGGTTCCTTTGCTGCTCCAAACGTCTTGTGCACGTCTGTGCGGTCACAGGCAGATGAGCCGGTTCCTGTGGAGGGGTTTCACTGGGGTGTTCCCCCCTCGCTGCATGGGAGGGGTGGGCGGAGGGGGAAGGCAGAAGTGGGCACACGGGCACTTACCTGCAAAGCTGCTGGCACGTTGGGAGCTCACGTCCTACTTGATCCGCTGTAACCCCTTCATCTGCCCCTGCTTTTAATGTACTTGTGAAATGTCTCCTTTTGCTCTTACTGCTTTCTGTGGCCTTCCATTTTATTTTTTAAAAGACGTGGTACCAGTTTGTAATAGTTTTACATCAGCCTTACTTCTAAGGAAACATATTTTTGCCTTCAAAAATGTCACCATTGGAAGATTATGAGAAGTGCTGCAAGGAGTGGTACAGTTGCAAATTATTTTTGTAAGTAAGTTACTGGGGAGGAGCTTAAAGTATAGCACAAATCTGCAAGCTTGCTCTTTTTAATTATATTTTGCAGATGTGCTAGTAATTGCACTGAGCATATGCAGTAGACAAATCGTATGTAATGGTTTTCTGCCTTCTTTTAAAGCGTGATTACAGAGGACAATTAAAGTGTATATATCTTGTTTTCTGTAATATTGCTGCCTGTTTATAACTGTGTATTTAAATTTTACTTTTGTCACTCTACACCAACATAATAAAACTCCTTGTAAACTACATGACCTAGAAATAAAAAAGGGAGAAGTTTAATGAAATGTTGCCATCTGAGTGGTGAGTAAGATGAGATTTGGGGGGCTCCTCCTCCCAGGAGGGGATGCACGTGTGGGTTTCTGGCTCAGTTATTGCCCAGGTGTCAGTAACGGTGAAGCAGAAAGTTTATAAATTGGTGTTTGGTTTCTTATCTCAGAATTTACACAAGAGAGAACTCTTGTTTAAACTCAGACACCACTTGCCGAGCAAGAATGTTGAGAGTATTTTTTTTTCTGTTGGGAATTCAGTAAGCTTATCTCACAGATGGCCCAGCCATGTGGGAAGTTTAGTTCTTTTCTTGATTAAGCTTTTTTTTGTAAATCTACACATATAAGTGATTGATAGTATACTGTTTTGGTTAAATACATGCAGTTCTATATTACAGTTTGTCCTATAGTAAGACAACGTGCCCATTTACAGATGGCAGTGATTTAAAACCTGCTTCATCTTCCCCCATCCTGCCGGTGGCATTAGCTTAACCCCAGACATCACATCCTTAATTACCCAGATAACCCAGTGACAAACTGTGAGACAGCTCCGCTCCTGTAATTATATTTATTATTCCTCTGTTTAAAAAAAAAATGTGTGCCATACTTCCAATTTTTTCTTCTCTCTACCAATGTTTCCATGTCCCCCAGGGAGAGGAGAGGTGGGTTGTTTTGTGCTCTGGCAACTGCAGTTGTGTAGCTATACATCCATATTTATGCTTTTTTTTTTTTTCTTTTGAGGGAGTGGTCCTGTTTAAAAAAAAAAAAAAGGAAGAAAGTGGCCAAAATCAGGCTTTTCAGGTCCTGCTTGTTTCATATTTTGTTCTTGGCTGATGGAATTGTGGGGATATTGCCCTTGGTTTTGTCTCCAAAACGAGTTTTCCTTGTGAGATCTCTCTTCTCTAGTCAGAGGCCTTTATCAAGATTTCTTCTCTTTCAGTTTGTCATTTTTTGGCTGGTTTCTGAATTTACAAAGGGATTGAGGTCTCAACAGTGTTTAATTAAAATTTTGTGAAAATAGGTAGGCCTGAGGTGAATTAATACTCATATCTTCATGCAAGTTTAGTTAGGCAGCAGAGAGAGGATGGAGCTGCTTAGGCTTGTGGACAGTAATCCACAGGAGCGGAGGCTTTGCTGATGCTGTTACATGTGGAGCAACTTCTGTGGCAATAAAGTTCTTGTGTTGCTTTTATGTGCTCATTATTTGAAGCTGGCAACTGATTAGTCATGGTGACTAATAACAAGAAGTGTAAATCTCTTGGAGTGACCTGTTTGAGGTTACTTTCCCACTGCTGGAACACGAGTCTGGTGTTTTTGGTCATGGCTCCTAACCTGGCACCCAGCGCCCCTGTGTGTCTCCATCCTCGCTTGATGAGATGGGCAGCAGTAGGCTGTGACTCAGGGTTAAAAATAAGTGGTTACAAACGTCAAGACACTCACTTTTGTTCTTTTACCATTATTTCAGTTTTGGGTTAATGCTAGGAATAAAGAACTAGAAA